AACACTAACTCCATATTCACACTATGTTGAAAAATCAATTCTTAAAAATCTAAAAATCTACTCTCAGCTCAGATTAAAGGCTGATCTTATTTATGAGCCATAAACTTTCTGCCTCACTAAAAATCAAGTTCACATTAGGATCAAATTCTTAATCACGTTAAAACAGTGTAGTAACTTTCCTTCACCACCAGGTCAATTTCATTGCCACTTAAAAAATAAATATCCAAAGCTTTATCTTGTTCTGCAGATAGAAGTGCAGAATGTTATAAAACCTTTTAATGTCTTACTACTTTAAATAAAACACCAAACACTTCATCATGTTATTTATCAGAGAAAGCTTTATTAGGAACATCCTGAATCATCAACAAGACAGTTACTAAGCACACTCTCATCTCTGCTGAACTTCACACATCACTCTCTAAGTTGCTGCTGTCCAACACTTTACAGCAGTGTTGTTCTCGGCCACACAAAGCTTCACTTTCCTCTACAAACATTAAAGCTCCTGATGATCAGAGCAGCATGTGTTCTCCTGGGCTCCAGCGGCCCCTCTAGCCCCCACACTGGCTCCTGTGGAGGGACTGGGTCTGGCTGTGGGCATGATGGAGGACCTTGCAGGAGTACAGCTCTCCTGACATCCAGCTCTCCTGGCTCAGGCTCAGGCTGCTGCTGCTGCTGTAGCGTCCGCTCTTCTCCTCCTCCGAGCTGCTCAGGACCCCCTCTGTCACCTGTGTGCCGTCCACCTCCCAGCTCACCACGGCTCCCTGAGGAGAGTAGCCGGTCAGCAGGCAGGCCAGCGTGAGCGAGCCCCCAGAAAGCTGCTCAGAGGAGGAGGGGGCCAGCAGAGAGACGGAGGGCCTGAGCATGGAGCCCGCTGCAGGGGAGAGAGACACAAGGAGCAGATGAACTTCCACTGAGGGACAGACGCTGTGAGACAGAGTCCATACAGGACACATTCAAACATTCAGAGGCTTTACTGTCATATGCACAGTAGCTGCAGTGAATCAGAACCAGAGTCAGAATACCTTTAGTAGTCCCTCAGAGGGGACATTCACGCTGTTACAGCAGAAAAGAGCCAAAGACAGCTTCATGTTACGTAGAAGCATGCATACAAAAGTATTCAAGTAAAAAAAAAGTTATAATATAATAAAAAATACAATAAAAAGTTTCACAATTTACAAAATACAATACAACAGTTCTGAGGATTTAGCAGCCAGGTATATATTGCACATATTGCACATATTGCACATAGGCGATGTAGATAAGGCAATGAAAAGCCCAAGGCTCCTCCAACAATGCAACATACAAATATGTAGGACATAAAACAATAAAACATATTTTAAAAACATTCAAATAGTTCCAGAACAAACAGAACGAGGAAGGAAATGAGGGTTTAATAAATCAAATAAAATGTTAAACTTGACGTTTGGAGTCAGAGTGTTATTCTGTAGCTCTCATCAGAACAAGAATTATACATTGAAGGTACAGGACAGAGAAAGTGGGGGTCAGCTGTGAGCATGAGCTGTGATCACAAGAGGAGCTGAGGCATGGGAGAACACGAGGGTTTCATTCATAAAATCAAACGGTGATACTTTATATCATTCTGGCATTTAAAATAATGAATCTTCTTCTTTGGCACTCATCAAAACTCCTGAAGAGTTACATGAAAGTAAGCAACGTAATGAAGGTGTTCATGTAATGATCATTATATGAAAAGCTTTATCTCTGCTTTACAATGTTTCAGAATGAATAACTCATCTCTGAAATCATTTACTGTTAAGAAAAACAAAAAGTAACATCTCATACAGTTGAAGACTTTGTCATCTGTTTGTTTCACTTCCTTTAAACTCTTTTAAACTAACGGACTGTGAACGCACCCTGCAGCGACTCTGAACGTACAAAAACACACTTTAATGTGTTTTAACGGATCCTCAGCAGATTTTATATGAAACACTTGTTGAATGTTAAAATGTATAACAATTAAAAAGTAAATCACAATTAGATGTTATGACAGAGCAGCTGTTCTTTGGTCAATTGTGAGCTAAAAATGTTTTTATATCTTATTAGAAAAGAAAAGTAAAACGTACATATAATTCACCGTAACATCTTCTTCAAAATTAATTAAAACTAACTTTCCTTAATGTTTTCAATTCTTCAGACAAGCTTTATAGATTTAAAAAATATCAACATAATGTAAATTATCCCAAATAATTTGTTGATTTATCAAATTCTGATGTAAAAGTAAATGTAATGTTTTCTGTGTTAGAAAATACAAATCTCTGGTACTTACAGTGAACGATGAGTTTGGTTCCTCCACCAAAAGTCCACCACAGTGATACAAACTCATTGAGTGGCCGTACAAAAACCTCCTGCACTGTCAGCAAGCATGTATCACTGAGAAAGCTCCCTGATCTCACTGATAACAGAGACACATATACAGTTTTTAAATCAACAAAGCTTTTCTAAAGATATGGATTACATCTCTGGAAGAATTAAGATGATTTATGTCATTTCTCATCACTTTTCTACACCTGGCAGAGAAACCATTACAGTCTTCTACACAGCTAACGTTGTCAGTTTTATATTAGTTTCTACACGGTTAAATGAACACGAGGCTTTTCAATAATAGTTATTAACAAATGTATTTGAAACAGAACTGAAACATGTTATTGATCTACAGTGAATCTCTGTATGTATGTTAATGTCAGACAAACAGACATATCATACCAACCACAGTGGACACAAACTCAAATCCTCATCTCCACTCCTGATATAAATATGTTCTTCCATTCAGATGATAGACGGTGTAAATCCAGACAGTGTTCCTCCTGGTTTCGTGTCCCACGTTGCCTTCAGTGTGCTGAGAGCAGAGACATCATTTCCATAGAGAGGAGGCTTTGCATGGTCAGCTGATCCTCCAGTGAACTGAGAAGGTTTATAGTCCTGTGAGTTCAACACTGCAGGACTCACATGTGTCAGTCAGCAGAAAGCACCATGACTCTCATCACCATCCTCATCTGGACGCTGGCCTGCTGCTGTTTCACAGGTTCATTCACTCAGCAACATTTCAAACATCATGTGCTGCCTTTCCTCTCCTTTCTTTCTGCTGAGAAATCAATGATCTGTTTCTGTGTGCAGGATGCAGCGGTCAGACTGTGACTGTGACTCAGCCTGCAGTCGAGACGTCTGCTCCAGGATCCACCGTCACTCTCACCTGTAAAAGAGTTCCCAATGATGGCAATTGGCCATTGACGTCCTGGTATCAACAGAAATCTGGACAGCCTCCAAAGCTCCTAATAAAACATGTGAGCACACTTGAATCAGGAACAGAACCTCGGTTTAGTGGCAGTGGAAGCGGCTCTGACTTCTCTATGACCATCACTGGACTGAAGGCTGAAGATGCAGCAGTTTATTACTGTCAGAGTTACCACGCCATAAACAGTGCAGGCGTGTTCACACAGTGATTTAGAGCCGTACAAAAACCTCCTTCAGTCTGAAGCAAAGCGTCCTGCTGCAGCTGCAGAGGTGAAGAGACTGAGAGGAGGAGAACTGGTCCAGTGAACACAAGAGTCATCAAGCAGAACCACCATGAACCCAAATAAAGCTGAAACACACTCTCAGACACTCTTCAACACCCTGTTTAAACTATATTATTGTCATTAAATTCAGTCTCTTTATGAGTGAGCTGGGAAAGTTAGATTGATGTTGAACTATAGCCACTGATATCAACATATATTTAACAGTAACTTTATGAATGTCTGTACAAAACAATTTATGATATTACCGCAGTCCAAACATACGCAACACAATTTAAATCATTTGAAGTACTGTAAACACAAAATGTTGTTGTTTACACTCCACTGTGTATTTTAATAGATTTAGTATTTAAAAGACTCAATCTATTAAAATGTGTTGACATAGTAAAGCTTAAAACAGTACTGATTATGCACAACATTTTCCATAACAAAATGCCTCCTAACATTCAAAAGCAGTTCCAAACCACAGTCAGGAAATACCCAGCGAGGCATCCTGACTGGTTGTGTAGCAAGCCCTGCAGAACAACCATCAAATCACAGCTGATCCATAAACGGAGTTAGAACGTGCAATGGACTTCACCCAGACCTTTCAAGTATCACTTGTCATCAACAATTCAAAACTAAATACAAATATTCTATTCCCGGAATCCTTTTTATTATTATTATTTCTTTAGAACTAATACCTTCTCAGTTTGTGTATTTATTTAATATGGTCTACATTACTTTACATCTATTTTGTCCTTATTTCTTTTCATCGTTATGGGGTTGAATTATTATTTCAGCCCTGGAAATTACCTTGCAATATTTGTATTGGTGTATATGAGTGCATGTGTATTTGTGTACTTATACACTTGAACATCTGTATATTTTGTGTAAGTGTGAAAATACAGTATGAATGTAAAAAAAGTCACTTGAAAATAAGTGTTCATAATGTTTATATGCATATATTATTATTATCATTATTCATTTGCCAAGTACATGTGTACATATGTATATATTTATATATAGTATTTTCATTTTCAAAAATGGAAGTTGAAACTGCTATTGACATGTGCAGAAAATGACCCTATCGTTTTTCTTATATATATATGCATTTATTATTTTCTTACCCTAACTTTTATATTTTATTTTCTCCAGTTTTCTTTAGTTTTCTTTATTTCTTTGTACTCCTTCATTTCTATATGTTTTTGACGCAATAATGCCAATGTTATATTAGGATGATTCACAGGAGGGCTACTTCCCATAAGCTTCAGCCCTCCCGCTTCTACTAATGTTGTTCATCTTTGTGAGTATGAATTATAATTCTTTTTTTGTATGAATTTAGTAGAACAAAAGAATAAAAAGAAATAAAAGAAATTGTCCCACAATCATAAAGGATATTAATATAATACGAGGTTTCATACTGAAGGTATTAATACATCTTTATCACAATGAACATATGAATTAAAGAAGTACAAAGACACAGTCTCATTTTAATCAACATTTTTATTTAATGATGGTTTAAAGCTCACGCCACATTTGAGATGAATGATGAGTTTCTGTTGGAGTGAAACAAATGAAATCCAGTTGAATTGTGAGCTGATGAACAAACAGGAGAATATGCAGGAAGTGAGGATTAGAGAGCAACACTAACAACTGAGCAGAGACAGCAGCAACATGTGAGCAGAGGAGATGTGTGTCTTCATGAAGATCTCTAGCAAAGCAGCTGCTTCCTCTCCAGACAGGAAGTGATGCTCTACTCCGAGCAGCGGGCAGGGTCCAGGCTTTGAGTGACAGGGCTCTGTCCACTCAGACTGGCCTCACAGCTCACTGAGCCCGCCCCCCTCCAGCTCTCTGCAGAGAGGCTCAGGGTGCTGCTCCAGCTGTAGCGGCCGTCGCTCCCCAGGACCTCCGGGCTGTGGGACCCCCCTGAGGAGCTGCTGCTGCCCCCCAGCTTCCAGCCCAGCTTCCAGGCGGAGGGGAAGCCCCCGCTGGCCAGACACACCACGGTGGCACTGCCCTGCTGCAGCTCCTCTCCAGAGGGGGGGAGGACGCTCAGGGTGGGCTGCTGCACACCCACTGGAGCAGGGAGGGAGGGGGGAGGAAAAGGGAGACATTAGAGTGAACACTTGATTATAAGGTCCTTTTTTGATGTTGTCATTTTGCTGCTGTCAAATCCTTGTGTCAGTACTTTACGATACCAGTCACCTCTGTGGAAACATTGGTATCACTGCCTTTTTTTATTTACATTTGAGTGTTGTACGTCTTTTAAAAGAACATCCATAACATTAATCTGTTTGCAACTTACACATTATGTATCTAATATATCATATTCCAATTACTTGTATCTAGACTCTCCTTGCTCTATTGTATCTGTGTTATTGTGCTGCTCTGTTGGAGGAGCCTGTGACCTAAGATGCTCATTGAAGTATCTGCACTGTAGCTATGTACACATGACAAGAAAAGCCTTGAAGCCTTGAATCCTTATATTTCATCAAATATAACAGAATAAGTTGTGCTGCTGTTACTCTCATAAATCACTCAGGATCAGACCCCCATGATTCAAGTGTGAATGACTGACTTTGTGTAAAGTGTGCAAGCTAAAGATTCATTGATAATAATGATTGAATATCTTCACATGTGTGATGATGTTCTTTAAACTGACAGAGCTGAACGTCTCAAGTGAAAACAGTTCAAACATTTATCATCTGTCTCTTTCACTTCCTTTTCACTGCATGTCAAATCAATGAACCGTGAACACGACGACAAGCTGCATTAACTGATACAATCACAAGTTTAAATGAATCCGTATTTAACTTGAATTCAACTAAATAGTTGATATTTTAAAAGACAATAGATAAATAATGTAAATAAATACAATATTGTGAACTACAAATGTAAAACTGAATGTGGCGGAGACGTCACGCGTTAACACATTTTAATAAATAAAAACATTTAGTATAAAGTTGTTATGATAATAAAATATAATATAGACAATAAACAAGTTATTTGCTTTAAAAAATGTATTTGTACGAAACGAACAATTGATATAGAAGTCTGCAAAGGTTCCTTTCAGATTACAAGAGGAGCTTAATACAAAAATATAAAAATGGAATCTAAGTTTTTTTTAACTTGAGTCTCATTTAATAATTAATGAAAGTTATATATTTGCTAATAGTTGTATAAAATACAAATCTCTGGTACTTACAGTCAACGATGAGTTTGGTTCCTCCACCAAAAGTCAACCACAGTGATACAAACTCATTGAGTGGCCGTACAAAAACCTCCTGCACTGTCAGCAAGCATGTATCACTGAGAAAGCTCCCTGATCTCACTGATAACAGAGACACATCTACAGTTTTTAAATCAACAAAGCTTTTCTAAAGATATGGATTACATCTCTGGAAGAATTAAGATGATTTATGTCATTTCTCATCACTTTTCTACACCTGGCAGAGAAACCATTACAGTCTTCTACACAACTAACTCTGTCAGTTTTATATTAGTTTCTACACGGTTAAATGAACATGAGGCTTTTCAATAATAGTTATTAACAAATGTATTTGAATCATAACTGAAACATGTTATTGATCTACAGTGAATCTCTGTATGTATGTTAATGTCAGACAAACAGACATATCATACCAACCACAGTGGACACAAACTCAAATCCTCATCTCCACTCCTGATATAAATATGTTCTTCCATTCAGATGATAGACGGTGTAAATCCAGACAGTGTTCCTCCTGGTTTCGTGTCCCACGTTGCCTTCAGTGTGCTGAGAGCAGAGACATCATTTCCATAGAGAGGAGGCTTTGCATGGTCAGCTGATCCTCCAGTGAACTGAGAAGGTTTATAGTCCTGTGAGTTCAACACTGCAGGACTCACATGTGTCAGTCAGCAGAAAGCACCATGACTCTCATCACCATCCTCATCTGGACGCTGGCCTGCTGCTGTTTCACAGGTTCATTCACTCAGCAACATTTCAAACATCATGTGCTGCCTTTCCTCTCCTTTCTTTCTGCTGAGAAATCAATGATCTGTTTCTGTGTGCAGGATGCAGCGGTCAGACTGTGACTGTGACTCAGCCTGCAGTCGAGACGTCTGCTCCAGGATCCACCGTCACTCTCACCTGTAAAACCAGCACAGATGTTTACAAATGGAGTGATGGTGATCAGGGTATGTTCTGGTACCAACAGAAATCTGGACAGCCTCCAAAGCTCCTGATAAGATATGTGAGCACACGTGAATCAGGAACAGAACCTCGGTTTAGTGGCAGTGGAAGCGGCTCTGACTTCTCTATGACCATCACTGGACTGAAGGCTGAAGATGCAGCAGTTTATTACTGTCAGAGTTACCACAGTGGTTACGTGTTCACACAGTGATTTGTCGTCGTACAAAAACCTCCCTCAGTCAGACTGCAGAGACTCTGAGCTGTTACAGCAGGAACCACCTGCAGCTGCTGAAGAGGAAGAGACTGACACAGCCCACTGAACTCAGAGCTGACAGGAACCCACCCAGCACTATTCACTTCTTATTCTTAAATATACATATGTTAAAGGATTAATGAGATTAAACCCAGTCCGAAACACATTATATGTAAAAGCAGCATTACACACAAACCTTATTGTGATCTCTGCTTCCCCGAATTGAAACAACAAACTCTCTTTAGCTTTTCCCCACATGTCTCCACTCGGTGTGTTTCACAGCAGGAGCATCTCTGGCCTCTCTGGAGTTATTATTTCATCATTATTATAAAGATCCTGATTCAAAATGACAAAGATCAATCTAATGAAGTCTTTAAAATGTTAAACGGTGGCTGATTAAAACCCTCTTATTCACATCAATCAATGAACTTATCCATTAGTTAACCTCAAATTCACATCTTAGTTAAAAACTTCAGGTTTTCTAAAAACCAGTTTATTAGAAGTTTCCTGAAATGTTTTTTTGTTCCATTATTGAAACCAAAAACAGCAGGAACATCCAAGAGACGTTGAGTTTGAACATGATTTGACCCCTGACCCCCCCTGAGACCACCAGTGCAAAGCAGAGGCTTTAGGACGAGCAGACGTACATCACAATCACAATCAAGTTTATTACCAGATACTTTGACACATACAAGGAATTAGCTTTGGTGTCTGGTGGTACGAACATAAACAATCTAAGAAAATAAGTTGCCATAGTAGGTAAAAAATATAAAGATAATATTAAGAAGTATTTACGACACATTTAAATTTAAAAGACCTTAAAAGCTAAAAAACTAAAAATACTTAGGACAATGAATATGTGACAATATATGGCAAACTACAGTACATTATATTTAAAGTGGAGGGCTGTGCAGATATGTGTGCAAACGTGTAAAATGCAGTCAGAGTTGAGCATGATCATGGCTCACAGAATTAAGAAAGAAGAAAGAACAAGATGTTGTTCACATGATGTGCAATAATGTAATTTTGTGACTGGCGAAGCCACACACAGTCTACTATTCAACATACTTATTAGTACAAATGCTGTTCAACTATTGTTCTTCAAATCTTTATTCTTCCGCATCTTATTATTGTGCTTTCTTCCTGTATGTTCCTGCCTGTGTACATGACATAAACTGCTCACAACCAATTGCCCCTTGCAGGATTAATAAAGTTGTTGATTGATTGATTATTTCAACCAGATTTCACCGTCTAACTACTTCAGCATACTTTCAGCTAGAGACCATTCAAATATTAAAATGTTCAGCTCCTTCAGGACACTTTTCTTGTTTTTGACATTTATACTTTTTTAAATATACTGCTTTTTAAACTTATATTTTTACAATGTAACCCAATGGGAGTATCCTTCAAATCCTCTTTTACCTACACCATGTTAAAAATGCTGCTCCTTCAGCAGACTTTCAGCTACAGACTTCATTCCTACTTTGAAACGGTCACAAAACATTCAGTTATCACATTTGTATTCAGCTTTTTGATATCTTTTAGAGTTTTTGACTCATCAACGTTTAAGTTTTGGTAAATGTTCAGGCCGTTGTAGATTATATAATGGTTGTCTATGGGATGGACCATTCAGGGCTAGAGAGCGTGACATCATCACTTAGAGTGTAGAGTGTGGTGCAGCTGCCTGGTTTGGCACCCCCACTATAACTTTGTCAAGGGTGGTCGTACTCCCACCAAAATCACACTGGTGTTTGTTGTCCCCCTCTAGTTTGTGCACACTAAAGCATTTTACTCTGGGCTCAGCAGGTGAGAAACTAAAGACGGGCTTCCACATGTGGCAGACCAGGTGTTGGTGCTGCCGGATTTGGCACCTCCACTATAACTTTGTCCAAGATAGTTGCACTGTCACCAAAATCACACCGGTGTTGGTTCTTTCCATCTTATCTGAGAAGGTTTTTCATCTTCTGTCTAATGTTATGTTGGTGTCTCGTTTCGGTCATAACGCCATTTGCTGGTTTCAGAGTTATCTAACCGACCGTACTCAATGCGTCAGGTTGGGTAGTACTGTCTCTGAGCCTGTCACCTTGGAGAAGGGAGTTCCACAAGGCTCTGTTCTGGGGCCCTTGCTCTTTTTATTACATGTAAACAATATTTGTAATCAGATGCAATTGTCTACCTATCATATGTATGCTGATGACACTATTGCATACTCATGTGCTCCTTCTCTGGATATGGCCGTTTCCAATTTAAAATCTGATTGTATCACGCTGCAGCATGCGCTTCTTGATTCTAAAGTGCTATTGAACGGTAAGAAAACCAAAGCAATGCTTTTTGCTCCCAAGTCAGCATCCTCTTGCCTCTCCATTGACACTCTTGCTCTGTTGAATTTGTAGATACATACAAATATCTGGGCTTTTGGTTGGACAGAAATCTAAACTTTAAACACCACATTGAAGTTCTAACTAAGAAATTGAAATTCACTCTTGGCTTCCTTTACAGACTTAAACGTTGTTTTTCAACATCTTCCCGTAAAAGGTTGGTCTCTGGCTTATTCCTGTCTCAGCGTGACTACAGTGATACAATCTATAGATTTGCCTGTCCCACTGTTTTGGCCAAACTTGACCCACTCTACCATGCTGCACTGCGATACATATCAAATGCACCCTATAGGACTCATCATTGCACGCTATAGCCTAACTGGATGGTCCTCACTTAGTATGCGTGGGATGCAGCACTGGTTTTTATTAATGTATGAAGCCATTTTAGGTAAGCTTCCACTGTATATATGTGCCAGATTTTGCCTTCTTGGCCAGGTCAGCATTGTAAATGAGATTTTGTCTCAATGTTTTCATCTGGTTAAATTATAATTTTTTTTTTTACAAAACCATGGAAAGAGATGCACAATGCAACTTAGAGACTAAGTGAACAAAGAGAGAGGAGAAAATAGACGCAACAAGTCCACAAAGAAATGCATAATGATGAGAAAGAAGCATGACGCCACAAAGAAGTGCTAAATTACTTCATAAAGAGGCAAAACAACTACAAAGAGACCCAGACAGACTCTAGATTGTTATACAGGGCGACTGCAAAGCGATAAAGACTCACAAGAGAACTTTGCTCCGATAAAGAAGGGACTTTTATGTCACTGTATCTCAGATTCTGTGCATGATGTGAAAGATTCAAATGTCTTTACATACTCCTATTTTGACACAAGAGGGCAGCATTGTTGTTGTTTTTCATGCAGATGTAACACAGACAACTCTCAGAGAAGATTTGTTGGCCTTGATGCACAATTATCCAGTTTTTAAATAAGGTTATTGCTGGTTTTACTGCTGGTACTGGTAGTCTACATCCAGGGTGAGATACTGATTTGAGTCTACAGGGAGTGCATTAACCAGCCTTTACATAAATAGGGTTATTTTAGTTTAATGTTCAAACTGTTCTTCATATAAAATAGTTTGCATTCAGTAGCTATGTTTTATTTCTCTGTCTCTGAGCTGTAGTGGATTTGAAATGAAAGTCACTCCCACCACCAAGAGCTGAAGATGCATGAAGTGACTGCTGTATGGGAGCTAATGTCAGCCTCATAGTCAAACAAGAACCTCCCTCGTATGAAACAGCGTACAGAGTGCTGAGCTGTGACCTGACCTGAGGTTCTGATACGCACCACCGGCACAGACGCACAGAAACTACATGAGCCCCAGTCAGAGGGGAAGTGAAACTCAAATGTTCCCCTTTCCTAATCCAGATGTTCAATTATATACATAGTCACTCAGAAAAAAAGGCCATCTCTGATGAGAGATTAATGTAAAACAGGATCTACAGTGTGACTCTATGTGACTAGTACTGTGTTGCACATTTATTAACAATGCAATACAATACAATGCATAGATCAGGGGTGTCTTGTACATTTTAATTGGCCCTCATCGAATTCTAAAAGTATAATGGAATATGGCCCACACCTGAAACTTCAGCTTGTCTTATATTATACTTCTTAAATATATATGTTGACATATATTATGTATATATATATATATATATATATACATAATATATGTCAACATATATATATATATATATATATATATATATAACTTTTCAAATTTAAGTTGAAAGCATTTTCTAACAAATTTTACTTGATAAAAAAAAGCCCAATAAGTTATTTGCATAACAAGCTTGAAATATATACTTCATATTTCCCCTTATCTTAAGCAATCTGAGGCTCCTGTTTTAAGGAAAGAGCTGCCAACACTTGTTATAACAAAATAAATGAAACCCTATGGAGAGCTGTGAGCTTTTTTACTTAAATCATATTCAGGTAACAAGCATGATTTACCTACATTTGATTGATTTAACTTATAACTTAATTTATGAGGCAAAATACCTCACCTCTAGTGAGTGGCCCTGCCCTTTGTATGTGTTTCTCTATGTGGCCCCTCATTGAGGTAAAATCATCCAGTCTTGACAGACCTGTTAGATATTAGATGTCTCTCTGTTGCATGGCATGCTGTGTCTCTATTCAGTGGATTTGATAACAAGAAGGGACATCCTAGAGAATCAAACACTCAGTGGATATTGAGTTCAATGTAGATCGATTTGCCAGCGGGGGAACTGTTAAACTGTTCATGAGATACTTCAGAAAGAAGTGGAAACAAGGAAAGATGTTTGCAAAGAAAAGAACGTACCTAGAAGAGCATTACCCTCACATTTAAGAGTGACTCTGAATGACCAAATGATGTTCAAGAGATGTTAAACCGTAACTAAAACTCACCTCAACTGCATTTTGGTTTCTCAAGGACAGGTGTCTGTGTGACGTGTGACATGTCATTTGCATGATTGTAATGCTTCACTGCTCCTCACAGTTTTAAGGTCTTGAGTCACGTAGAGTCTGAACCGTGTTCCTGCACTCATCCTGAGAACTGGAGATCATGTTGTCAGTAACTCTGCTTGTCATGTTGGGCTTTCTGTGTCAGGGTGAGAGACTTTGAAAATGTATCATCTGAAATGATAGGAGTAATGTATGTGTGGTTCAATGTGTGTCTTTTCTTTTCATGTTTGCATCCAATGTGCTTTGTCTTTAACTCTTTCTATTATCATTTAAACTGCTGCTCCATGTTGTTGGTTATCTAACATTTCACTTCTCATTTCAGAGTCTTCTGCCAACAAGTTCCTGACTCAGACTGACTCATCCAAGTCTGTTAGTGCTGGAGGGACTGTGACCATCAGCGCTACAGGGAGCTCTAATATTGGTCGTCGTCTCAGTTGGTATCTTCAGAAACCTGGACAGGCTCCTAAACCTCTTATATACTCATCATCAACTCTGTTCTCTGGAACTGAGCCTAGATTCAGTGGTACTAGATCTGGTGCTCAGTACACTTTAACCATCAGTAACGTTAAGGAAGTTGATGCAGGAGATTACTATTGTCTGGGCTACCATGGTGATGGCACGTTCACACAGTGATTTAGAGCCGTACAAAAACCTCCTTCAGTCTGAAGCAAAGCGTCCTGCTGCAGCTGCAGAGGTGAAGAGACTGAGAGGAGGAGAACTGGTCCAGTGAACACAAGAGTCATCAAGCAGAACCACCATGAACCCAAATAAAGCTAACACACTCACAGACACTCTTCAACACCCTGTTTAAACTATATTAATGTCATTAAATTCAGTCTCTTTATGAGTGAGCTGGGAAAGTTAGATTAATGTTGAACTATAGCCACTGATATCAACATATATTTAACAGTAACTTTATGAATGGCTCTACAAAACAATTAATGATATTACCGCAGTCCAAACATACGCAACACAATTTAAATCATTTGAAGTACTGTAAACACAATGTTGTTGTTTACACTCCACTGTGTATTTCAATAGATTGAGTATTTAAAAAACTCAATCTATTAAAATGTGTTGACTTAGTAAAGCTTAAAACAGTACTGATTATGCACAACATGTTCCATAACAAAATGCCTCCTAACATTCAAAAGCAGTTCCAAACCACAGTCAGGAAATACCCAGCGAGGCATCCTGACTGGTTGTGTAGCAAGCCCTGCAGAACAACCATCAAATCACAGCTGATCCATAAACGGAGTTAGAACGTGCAATGGACTTCACCCAGACCTTTCAAGTATCACTCGTCATCAACAATTCAAAACTAAATACAAAAAGATTCTATTTGCAGATTTCTCCAGTTTACAAATATTGGATATTCTCGGAATCATTTTTCTTCTTTTTATTATTATTATTTCTTTAGAACTAATACCTTCAGTTTGTTTATTTATTTAATATGGTCTACATTACTTTACATCTATTTTGTCCTTATTTATTTTCATCGTTATGGGGTTGAATTATTATTTCAGCCCTGGAAATGTCCTTGCAATATTTGTATTGGTGTATATGAGTGCATGTGTATTTGTGTACTTATACACTTGAACATCTGTATATTTTGTGTAAGTGTGAACATACAGTATGAATGTAAAAAAAGTCACTTAAAATAAGTGTTCATAATGTTTATATGCATATATTATTATTATCATTATTTATTTGCCAAGTACATGTGTACATATGTATATATTTATATATAGTATTTTCATTTTCAAAAATGGAAGTTGAAACTGCTATTGACATGTGCAGAAAATGACCCTATAGTTTTTCTTATATATATATGCATTTATTATTTTCTTACCCTAACTTTTATTTTTATTTTTTTCTCCAGTTTTCTTTAGTTTTCTTTATTTCTTTGTACTCCTTCATTTCTACACGTTTTTGACGCAATAATGCCAATGTTATATTAGGATGATTCACAGGAGGGCTACTTCCCATAAGCTTCAGCCCTCCCGCTTCTACTAATGTTGTTCATCTTTGTGTGTAAGAATTATAATTCTTTTTTGTAATGAATTTAGTAGAATAAAAGAATAAAAATAAATTAAATAAATTGTCCCACAATCATAAAGGATATTAATATAATACGAGGTTTCATACTGAAGGTATTAATACATCTTTCTCACAATGAACATATGAATTAAAGAAGTACAAAGACACAGTCTCATTTTAATCAACATTTTTATTTAATGATGGTTTAAAGCTCACGCCACATTTGAGATGAATGATGAGTTTCTGTTGGAGTGAAACAAATGAAATCCAGTTGAATTGTGAGCTGATGAACAAACAGGAGAATATGCAGGAAGTGAGGATTAGAGAGCAACACTAACAACTGAGCAGAGACAGCAGCAACATGTGAGCAGAGGAGATGTGTGTCTTCATGAAGATCTCTAGCAAAGAAGCTGCTTCCTCTCCAGACAGGAAGTGATGCTCTACTCCGAGCAGCGGGCAGGGTCCAGGCTTTGAGTGACAGGGCTCTGTCCACTCAGACTGGCCTCACAGCTCACTGAGCCCGCCCCCCTCCAGCGCTCTGCAGAGAGGCTCAGGGTGCTGCTCCAGCTGTAGTGGCCGTCGCTCCCCAGGACCTCCGGGCTGTGGGACCCCCCTGAGGAGCTGCTGCTGCCCCCCAGCTTCCAGCCCAGCTTCCAGGCGGAGGGGAAGCCCCCGCTGGCCAGACACACCACGGTGGCACTGCCCTGCTGCAGCTCCTCTCTGGAGGGGGGGAGGACGCTCAGGGTGGGCTGCTGCACACCCACTGGAGCAGGGAGGGAGGGGGGAGGAAAAGGGAGACATTAGAGTGAACACTTGATTATAAGGTCCTTTTTTATGTTGTCATTTTGCTGCTGTCAAATCCTTGTGTCAGTACTTTACGATACCAGTCACCTCTGTGGAAACATTGGTATCACTGCCTTTTATAATTTACATTTGAGTGTTGTACGTCTTTTAAAAGAACATCCATAACATTCATCTGTTTGCAACTTACACATTATTTATCTAATATATCATATTCCAATTACTTGTATCTAGACTCTCCTTGCTCTATTGTATCTGTGCTATTGTGCTGCTCTGTTGGAGGAGCCTGTGACCTAAGATGCTCATTGAAGTATCTGCACTGTAGCTATGGACACATGACAAGAAAAGCCTTGAATCCTTGAATCCTTATATTTCATTAACTAAAACAGAATAAGTTGTGCTGCTGTTACTCTCATAAATCACTCAGGATCAGACCCACATGATTCAAGTGTGAATGACTGACTTTGTGTAAAGTGTGCAAGCTAAAGATTCATTGATAATAATGATTGAATATCTTCACATGTGTGATGATGTTCTTTAAACTGACAGAGCTGAACGTCTCAAGTGAAAACAGTTCAAACATTTATCATCTGTCTCTTTCACTTCCTTTTCACTGCATGTCAAATCAATGAACCGTGAACACGACGACAAGCTGCATTAACTGATACAATCACAAGTTTAAATGAATCCGTATTTAACTTGAATTCAACTAAATAGTTGATATTTTAAAAGATAATAGATAAATAATGTAAATAAATACAATATTGTGAACTACAAATGAAAAACTGAATGTGGCGGAGACGTCACGCGTTAACACATTTTAATAAATAAAAACATTTAGTATAAAGTTGTTATGATAATAAAATATAATATAGAAAATAAACAAGTTATTTGCTTCAAAAAATGTATTTGTACGAAACGAACAATTAATATAGAAGTCTGCAAAGGTTCCTTTCAGATTACAAGAGGAGCTTAATACAAAAATATAAAAATGGAATCTACGTTTTTTTTAACTTGAGTCTCATTTAATAATTAATGAAAGTTATATATTTGCTAATAGTTGTATAAAATACAAATCTCTGGTACTTACAGTCAACGATGAGTTTGGTTCCTCCACCAAAAGTCCACCACAGTGATACAAACTCATTGAGTGGCCGTACAAAAACCTCCTGCACTGTCAGCAAGCATGTATCACTGAGAAAGCTCCCTGATCTCACTGATAACAGAGACACATCTACAGTTTTTAAATCAACAAAGCTTTTCTAAAGATATGGATTACATCTCTGGAAGAATTAAGATGATTTATGTCATTTCTCATCACTTTTCTACACCTGGCAGAGAAACCATTACAGTCTTCTACACAACTAACTTTGTCAGTTTTATATTAGTTTCTACACAGTTAAATGAACACGAGGCTTTTCAATAATAGTTATTAACAAAGGTATTTGAAACAGAACTGAAACATGTTATTGATCTACAGTGAATCTCTGTATGTATGTTAATGTCAGACAAACAGACATATCATACCAACCACAGTGGACACAAACTCAAATCCTCATCTCCACTCCTGATATAAATATGTTCTTCCATTCAGATGATAGACGGTGTAAATCCAGACAGTGTTCCTCCTGGTTTCGTGTCCCACGTTGCCTTCAGTGTGCTGAGAGCAGAGACATCATTTCCATAGAGAGGAGGCTTTGCATGGTCAGCTGATCCTCCAGTGAACTGAGAAGGTTTATAGTCCTGTGAGTTCAACACTGCAGGACTCACATGTGTCAGTCAGCAGAAAGCACCATGACTCTCATCACCATCCTCATCTGGACGCTGGCCTGCTGCTGTTTCACAGGTTCATTCACTCAGCAACATTTCAAACATCATGTGCTGCCTTTCCTCTCCTTTCTTTCTGCTGAGAAATCAATGATCTGTTTCTGTGTGCAGGATGCAGCGGTCAGACTGTGACTGTGACTCAGCCTGCAGTCGAGACGTCTGCTCCAGGATCCACCGTCACTCTCACCTGTAAAGCCAGCACAGATGTTACCGTTTGTAGTGGTACTAGTGAATGTATCTCCTGGTATCAACAGAAATCTGGACAGCCTCCAAAGCTCCTGATAAAATATGTGAGCACACTTGAATCAGGAACAGAACCTCGGTTTAGTGGCAGTGGAAGCGGCTCTGACTTCTCTATGACCATCACTGGACTGAAGGCTGAAGATGCAGCAGTTTATTACTGTCAGAGTTACTACAGTAATTACGTGTTCACACAGTGATTTGTAGTCGTACAAAAACCTCCCTCAGTCAGACTGCAGAGACTCTGAGCTGTTACAGCAGGAACCACCTGCAGCTGCTGAAGAGGAAGAGACTGACACAGCCCACTGAACTCAGAGCTGACAGGAACCCACCCAGCACTATTCACTTCTTATTCTTAAATACACATATGTTAATGGATTAATGAGATTAAACCCAGTCCAAAACACATTATATGTAAAAGCAGCATTACACACAAACCTTATTGTGATCTCTGCTTCCCCGAATTAAAACAACAAACGCTCTTTAGCTTTTCCCCACATGTCTCCACTCGGTGTGCTTCACAGCAGGAGCATCTCTGGCCTCTCTGGAGTTATTATTTCATCATTATTATAAATATCCTGATTCAAAATGACAAAGATCAATCTAATGAAGTCTTTAAAATGTTAAACGGTGGCTGATTAAAACCCTCTTATTCACATCAATCAATGAACTTATCCATTAGTTAACCTCAAATTCACATCTTAGTTAAAAACTTCAGGTTTTCTAAAAACCAGTTTCATAGAAGTTTCCTGAAATGTTTTTTTGTTCCATTATTGAAACCAAAAACAGCAGGAACATCCAAGAGACGTTGAGTTTGAACATGATTTGACCCCTGACCCCCCCTGAGACCACCAGTGCAAAGCAGAGGCTTTAGGACGAGCAGACGTACATCACAATCACAATCAAGTTTATTACCAGATACTTTGACACATACAAGGAATTAGCTTTGGTGTCTGGTGGTACGAACATAAACAATCTAAGAAAATGAGTTGCCATAGTAGGTAAAAATATAAAGATAATATAAAGAAGTATTTACACCAAATTTAAATTTAAAAGACCTTAAAAGCTAAAAAACTAAAACACTTAGAACAATGAATATATGGCAATATATGGCAAACTACAGTACATTATATTTAAAGTGGAGGGCTGTGCAGACCTGTGTGCAAACATGTGTAAAATGCAGTCAGAGTTGAGCATGAACATGGCTCACAGAATTAAGAAAGAAGAAAGAACAAGGTGTTGTTCACATGATGTGCAATAATGTAATTCTGTGACTGGCGAAGCCACACACAGTCTACTATTCAACATACTTATTAGTACAAATGCTGTTCAACTATTGTTCTTCAAATCTTAATTATTCCGCATCTTATTATTGTGCTTTCTTCCTGTATGTTCCTGCCTGTGTACATGACATAAACTGCTCACAACCAATTGCCCCTTGCAGGATTAATAAAGTTGTTGATTGATTGATTATTTCAACCAGATTTCACCGTCTAACTACTTCAGCATACTTTCAGCTAGAGACCATTCAAATATTAAAATGTTCAGCTCCTTCAGGACACTTTTCTTGTTTTTGACATTTATACTTTTTAAAATATACCGCTTTTTAAACTTTTATTTTTACAATGTAACCCAATGGGAGTATCCTTCAAATCCTCTTTTACCTACACCGTGTTTAAAATGCTGCTCCTTCAGCAGACTTTCAGCTACAGACTTCATTCCTACTTTGAAACGGTCACAAAACATTCAGCTATTACATTTGTATTCAGCTTTTTGATATCTTTTAGAGTTTCTAACTCATCAACGTTTAAGTTTTATATAATGGTTGTCTATGGGATGGACTCTTCAGGGCTAGAGTGCGTGACATCCTCACTTATGACGCGTTTCCACTGCAGCGGGTAGCCCCGTTTAAGCGTCCTTAACCGTCCTCAAGCGGCCAGGCCGGTTTTTGGTGGCGTTTCCATATAGCCTAGTGTAAGAGAATATTTTCATCTGATCTGTTTATAGAGTTTCTTATTGTTTTATAGAATCTGTGATACTGCAAACATCTGCTTGTAGTCAGTCAGAGACCCTCTGTGATGTTGAGGTCACAGGTCAAACGCTTCTCTATGTCCGTGGGGGGTTGACCTGGCAGCTCTTAAAATCGTGGTTCCCTCAGACCAGGGCCAGGGCTGAACTAGTGACGTCAACACTCTCAACTGCTGATTGGTCAGAGAGAATGGTCACAAGATTGCGCGCGAGTTCATCCCTAGCGTCGCATATATATCTAGAAGCAAGCTTGCAGCATTTTTATAAACAGCATTTTGTAAACGGATGAGCTACAAAAATGGCTACGTCTAATAAGAAAAGCACACCGTGGTCGACCGAGGAGGTGACGACGTTCCTACATCTCATTGGGGATGATCAAATCCAGCGGGAGCTCGACGGAACAACTCGAAATGTGAACAAAAACAAAGCCGATCGCCCCGCCTACACTGCGTTGCTACCCCAGGTCCTAAACTGTAATGGAAATGCGCCACGGCCTGGGCCGGCCAGCGAGGCAGCCCGAGGCCTGAGCGAGGACGCTTAGGGACGCTTAAACGGGGCTACCCCGCTGCAGTGGAAACGCGCCATTAGAGTGCTGAGGGTGGTGCAGCTGCCTGGTTTGGCACCCCCACTATAACTATGTCCAAGATAGTCGTACTGTCACCAAAATCACACTGGTGCTTGTTTTTTCCATCTTATCGGAGAAGGATAATATGGAAACCTCATATTTTAATTGGCAGACTTCTAGAACAATTTGAAATAAGCAATAATCTTATGGACTTGATTCTTGATTTTTTAACCAATAGGACACAAAGAGTGTGCGTGAATGGGACCTTATCTGATCAAGTCAGCTCCTCCACTGGCTACCCCACAAGGATGTATCCTTTCGCCACTATTATTTATACTTAACACTAATATGTGTCAAAGTAGGTGGGAAAATAGGACTATTTTAAAGTATACAGATGACTCTGTAATTGTTAGTGGGCTCCAGGACAATGAGACCAGCCACGGCCCTGTCTTTGACGACTTTGTCAGGTGGTGTGAGGAGTCCTATCTACAACTGAACATAAGCAAAACCAAGGATATGATCATTGATTTTAGAAGACATCCCCACATACATGAAGTCTTAACAATCGCGAATCAGAAAGTAGAATTAGTGCAATCATACAAATATCTGGGGACAATTATTGACTCAAAATTGAGCTCTGATCCAAAATGTGAAGCTGTGTGAAAAGGGGGCACCAGCGTTTGTACTGTCTTAGGAAACTGTCCTATTTAACATTGACAAAACCATGATGATTGTTGGGGAAATATTTTCCAAGGTCCATGACTTTGACCCAGTTTATCAGTTCAAACTGTCCTGACTGAGCACACGCACCTGTAACCTTGGCTGCTGTGCTCTCAGTGTTCTGTCTCCCTGTTCCTGCCTGTTGGAGTCAGCTGATAGAGGTGTTATGATTCTATCTTGTTATGCACAATGTTGATTATTCTCTCTGAACTAGCTAAATACATGGGTCTGGCCGCAGGCACGGCTGCAGTGCACGCAGGGAGTGGAAGCAGAGCGCTGAACACTCACGGCTCTTATTAAAACGGCGCTTTCTCACCGGAGTACTTGTCCCCGTCATTCTTAAAGTACCGACACTAATGAAACGGAGGAATCGTACCGTTTTTAACGGCAGGGTATCGCGGTACCTTTCAAGTATCGGTACACCGTGCAACACTAGTCTGGGGTAGAGTTCTTCAGAATTGACGTGGCAACTCTCCCGTGCAGTCAGACCATGGCTGCTGTGACTTGTGATGTGAATCCTCCGGCCGAACCTCCTAAATAAACCATCAGTGTTTGACATCAAAGCTCCTGCTCTTCCCGTGTCTCTTTCCTGAGTCGGTGACTCCCACTGCATTGCTACACAGAAGTTTCCCTTACAATGATCATATTTTATCGTGCTTTTATCGAGTCGATTCTGTCTTTTTCATTCATGTCATGGTTTGGTAACCTGACTTTAAAGAGCAGAAACTCTCTGAGTCAGATCAT